AAAAAAAAAAAAAAACCCATTCAAAAGTGGGCAAAGGATTTGAACAGACACTTTTCAAAAGAAGACATATGAGGCCAACAAACATATGAAAAAAATCATATCACTGGCCATTAGAGAAATGCAAATCAAAACCACATTGAGATACTACGTCACGCCAGTTAGGATGGCAATCATTAAAAATCTGGAGACAAAAGATGCTGGAGAGGATAAGGAGATAAAGGAACACTTTTACACTGTTGGTAGGCGTGTAAATTAGTTCAACCATTATGGAAGACAGTGTGGCAATTCCTCAAGGATCTAGAAATAGAAATTCCATTTGACCCAGCAATCCCATTACTGGGTATATAACCAAAGGATTATAAATTCCTCTATTATAAAGACACATGCACAAGTATGTTTACTGTGGTACTATTTAGGATAGCAAAGACCTGGAACCAACCCAAGCCCATCAATGAAAGACTGAACAAAGAAAATGTGGCACATATACACCATGGAATACTATGCAGCCATAAAAAACGATGAGTTCATGTCCTTTGTAGAGACACAGATCAATCTAGAAACCATCATCCTCAGCAAACTGACACAAGAACAGAAAACCAGACATCGCATGTTTTCATTCATAGGTTGGTGATGAACAATGAGAACGTTTGGGCACAGGGAAGAGAATAACACTCACTGGGCTAGGTGGGGGGCTGGAGGGGAGGGGAGGGACAGCATGAGGCAGGGAGGATGGGGAGGGATAACACCGGGAGAAATGCCTGATGTAGGCAATGGGTGGTGGAGGGGGGCGGTGGAATGGAGACAGCAAACCACCATGGTATGTATACCTATGCAACAATCCTGCAGGATGAAGAATGTGCACATGTACACTAGAGCCCAAAACACAAAACATAATAATAATAATAATAATAATAATAATAATTGGAAAGAATGATGTGGGGTACCTTGACATATACTTTGTAAAGCAGTACAATATATGGCATTACATTCTTTGGAAACAGGCTATCTGGATTCAAATACCAAGTATACCAATTACCAGCTGTGTCACTTTAATTGAATGGCTTAACTTCTCTGTGTCTCAGTTGAATCATTTGTTTAAAAAACAAAACAAAGGAAATAATAAGAGTACCTTCTTCATAAGTTTATTCTGAAATTGAGTGACTTAAATACAGAACCTATACAAAGAGACATAATGAGCACTATATAACTGTTATGCAGTAGCAGAGGTAGCAGTATATTTTTAGGGTGGTCTAGGGATATAGTACTAGCATATCCCTTGAAAATAAAGTAAATATGAAAATCATGCAATTATTAACTCCAAGAAAAGTAACATTTTAGGAAAAAGGATATATAGTCATATTACTTAAATTACTAATAAACAATATTTATACAGACATAATAATATAAGCTTTCGATAGTGATTTAATCAAGATTATGATAAAGCTATAGAACAGAGAGAGAAGGAAAGACAATGAAATCTAAATCCTAAGCTTCTAAATCCCTACACATAAGAGATGAAAGCTGAAAGTTAAAAAAAAAATCAAGATAGTGTAAGTGCACTGTTTTTAAAATGTGGAGATCCCCCCACCACACATACACACATGCACGCCCAGAAAAACAAAAAACAAAACAAAGAATGAAATGTGGCAGCCTCTGAGGAGTGGGACTTGGGAGTGCAGTAGAATGGGTAAAGGATTACTCTTCATTCTTAAAAACCCTCCCATACTTTTTGACTTTTTAAACTATGCACACTTATTATTTTAATAAAAATAAATAAAAAATGGTAGTTAGTAGATGTCACACAAACTATGAACTATTATCATCTCTAGCTGCTCTGCCAAAAGATAAATACATGCTCTAGGCTGGAAGTGGAAAGTAAACTTAAGCCACACAGAATTTTGACCTTTACTGAGTCTCTGCTTCTGCTCCAATAATAGATAAAACAAAACAAACATATATGTTTTCTAAGCTCTAAATTGTCTTTTTTAAAAAAGTTATTTTCACCTTATTAAATTTTATCTCTAATAAAACTGAATAATTGTTGTCAAAAAATATTTGATAAAGAAATTATTTTTTTTAAAAAAGAAACAAATGCCAATTTGACATCCCAAAGGCGTTTATCTTGTTTACATTAAAAACCTGAAATAAAATTCCTTTTGAGTAAAAGATTTCAGTTTAACCACAGGAAATTGGCATTTTTGACACCTCAAAATGGAAGCGTACTCAAGAACAAATCACAGCGTGCTCAGTCAGAACTTTAGAGCAAAGAATTATAACCAGGGTCAGTCCAGAGCCCTGAGACCCACAGGATTTCCACGCCAAACATTATCACAGCTACTCGGGAGGCTGTGGCAGGAGAATTGCTTGAACCTAGTAGGTGGAGGTTGCAGTGAGCCGAGATCGCACCACTGCACTCCAGCCTGGGCGACAGAGCGAGACTACGTCTCAAAAAAAAGAAAAGACTAAGTGACTCCAACTGAGCATTTCCAGCAGATAATATATTGTTATATCATATTAAGACTATAATATTAATATTCATTATATTGACCTTATAAGCATTTATATGTTTATATGTTATGCCTTCATATTATAAAAT